GGTATATGGCTTGGGTTCGCAAGGATTTGCTTATGAGGGAAGTTCATCCACTTTAGTATTTTATGATCCAAGTGGAGCTGAAGAAACTATATGCCAGAGGGTTGCAACGCTGACCAGAGAGATTGAAGAAATGAGAAAATTTCAAAATGAAATACAATCAGAACTGCAATCCTACATAGATGAAAATCAAAAGAAGAGAGCAGCCACATGCATCTCCAGACAATGAGGATACGAACAAGGATTAACACTTTTTTATGTTTGATGAACTTATGATGATCTGATTGTAAACTTATTTGGTTGAACTTATTAAACTTAGAATTTGTGAACTTGGTTAAACTTGTGAACTTTGATTTCATTTATTATTTTGTTTGGTTTTACTTATCTATATATTTGTGATAATTGATTGACTATAGTGGCGTGTTGTCCAAAATTGTTATTACTGCTTTATGTGCAGGTTTAGAGTTTAGAGTAAAAATCTCTCAAATAGAGGGGAGGCTGTCAAATTTTTTTTCAGATGCTACAGGTTTCCGGCTGCCAACCGGCGGTTAGGCCGCCGGAAACGACGATACCGAACGGCTGATTGACGCCGTAAGAAATGTACTGTAACTTCTGGTATTTTCCGGCGGTCTATCGAAGATATCCGACGATTGTCCGGCGACACACCGGCGGTCATACCACCGGCAATTCCTCTGGTTGTAACAGCCGGTAAGCCGCCGATAAATATCCCCGACGATTTTTCAACGATTACCGACAATATTTTTACTGTCGGTTTAATGGCTGGGCAACCGCCAGTGAAACACCTGCAGTCACCGGCAGTCATACCGCCGAACGATAACCGGCGGCACAACCGCCGGGAATTTGTCGGTGACAAAAAACAGTCGAAAATACGTCGCCGACAATGTTTTCCGGCTTTGTTTTTTCCGGCGGTTTGAGAATTGCCGAAAAGCCGCCGGTTTTTTCAAGAACCGCCGGAAACTATTAGTTAACCGCCGGTCCAGGCCGCCGATAATAGATGAATTTCCTAGAGTGGACGGGCTTAAGTTCGGTAGTAGTCGAGGAGTCTGGTGGCAAGAGAACTCAAGTTTATATTATTCTTTCTCTTCCTTTATTCCTTACTTCGGTCCTCTTTCATGAGAAATGAGCGATCAATTTATTGTTTTCAGAGAGTGGTATAGCCAGTAAATAGGATGAATATAAATGGTAAGTTGAGAATGGTTTGAATGTATGACAGATGTTGGTTCCCTTGATTGTGGACCGTTGACTGGACATTTAAATGTCTTTATGATATCAAAATTTGGCGATCTTGGGCTTGTTGGATTCGTCTCGTCGAGCTACTAAATTCGACTATAAGCATGTTATGTTTGAAAATTGTTTGGTAATCCAAAATATGGTTTGAACCTTCTAAATGTGCTTCTAGTATTTGATTTGGACACATTTGGGCTTGAATTGAGTTGAATTTGGTGTCGTTGATTTTTGAGACGTTCAATTTGATTATAAGTTTGCTGAAATAAGAGTACGGATGTGTTAGTTTCTTAAGGATTTTCACCAGTGCCAAAAAAATATTAAAAAAAATCATGCAATTAAAATATTATAATCTCAATGCTATGAAAAATACGGTTTGTAATTTAGACTTATAATGTCTCTAGAAAGAAATTTTTTTATCTTGGTCAAAATACAGGTTATTACAAGGCGAGCCTCTCGCGGATTCCCATATTGGGTGTGGGAGCAAGGGCCAATGGATTGTTGTGATTTAATAAATTCATTTAAGTTTTTTTGTGGATTTAAAATTATAAAAAAATATCATTAAAATAACACAATATATATTTTTAGAACACTTTGGTAAAGTTGGTTTGCAAAACATACATATGACGGTTCCTAAACCCCTACTTATACCAATATGTGTCAATTTGTTAAGGATTTGTACCAATATCAAAATATTAATTAGTGCAATTAAAATACTATATTATCCATGCTATGATAGTTTTTGATTTGGACTTATAATAATCCTGAAAAAAAAAAAAATATATTTGTTTGGATCAATATAAGGGCTATTACAACTAGTCTCATGCTTATATGCCTCCTTTTTTGAAGGCATACACTTTTGAGAATCAAGTTATATAACTTGGAATAATTAGGTTCATTTTACGAGCGTGCCACTTCGTTTTGGTGGCTATCAATAATTGGTTGTTAATTTATAAAATACCTTGGTTCCATGATAGTCATCGTATTTCTTTGCTCTAAAAGTCGATTATTTGGTTGATCCTCTAGATCTAGCAATATGACATCAATAGGAGGTAAGATAAGATTTCTCTTACCTCGTCATCTAATATTAATGAAGAATTGAACAACTTTAGATTTTTCATATCCCCTACTGAATAGATCTCCATATTAGCAAACACAATTGAATGACATGCGTTGTACCTAATTTTCTTCATAATTTCAAAATTGTCATTTCAAATTAGTTTAATTTTATGCCCTAAACTATTTCAATCTCTCATTATTGATGTGAAGCCACACATATCTTATTCTTCAAACTTCTTATTTACTTGGTTTGATTATGCTAACATTTCCAACGATTTTTTGATTTGACGATTTATGTCTCTACCTCGTCGTGAATGCTTCTAATCTATCTAGGATTTTTGGTTTATTTGTAGAACTTTATCCTTGTTCCGGAGGTCGGTCATTATTTTTATCTAAAACTCCAACTTGAATGGACTTTGAGGTAGAAATCCAATATATACTTCAAATGAAGCTTGACTTACTAAACTATATCTAGTTTGTTGAATGCTAATAAGAAATTCGACACTTATCATAATTCCTTTGATGTCTTGCATTAGATGCTCATAAAAGGTGCATAATAAATTTATTCTTCACTATATGGCCCTTCATTTATATAAATAGAAGCTTGTACACTTTAGTTTTTCATAGTATTATTCATTATGGTTTATAATGATTTCAAAAAGAGGGCGTTCAAATGGAACAATTATTACGTCCTCGGACCGGATGCAGAGGAACATTCGGTCGTAGGCAAAATTCCGCCTATACCGAGGTGTACCGAGTTTTTCCAAAAAACTTGGTACACCTCGGTATAGGCGGGATTTTGCCTACGACCGAATATTCCTCTGCATCCTTACACCGGACCAAATAAAAGTTCGTTCAAATGGCATCACTTGAATTATCACCGCCTTAATTTGAAGGTCCTTTTTAGGGATTTTTTCAAGTTTGTATCTGATGGTAGCCAAATTTTAAATCCATTATATAAAAGTACTTTGATCTGCTATGTAATATCCCAAGATTTAAATTTAAAAGAATTATAAATTTTTATCTATTAATTTATCTGTCAGAGTTACTTAATATCTATCATTTTAAATAAATCCAATAAAAAAAATTTAAAATAACGACCTTCATAGCAAAGCAGAGCCCCATCAATAAGTTGCATTATGTGCTCCATTGCTGATTAGAGCGGTAGATCCCTTTTACCTGTTTACAAAGTATAGGAAAAAGTCCTGTAAGAGTTGGTAACTTGCAAGCTTAATGGCCTTAGGTATTATCAAACACAAAGGAAGCAACAACAGCGTCGTCATGTGTTGTTATCATTTCATACTAGGGAAGTACAATACAATTAAAATATGTACCTTTTTTTCTTTTTAATTGAGGGAGATGAGAACAAGATAGAAAAATGGGAGTTCTGGAAATACTTTAGATAATTATATATGCTATATTTTTAATTCTAATTTTATTATTATCATTAGAGCATCTCCAACCGAACGCCAAACGTGCATATGACGTCGTTCAGTCGCTCCAATCGAACGACAAATCTTCCGCCATTTATTTGCGGGTGAACAGTGCGACGTCAATATTGATGTTGCATTGTTCACCCACGCTATTTTGCTCTCTCAACCGGATTTTACGAAAAAACACGCAAAAGGGGAGAAGGATCATTACCTTCGCAGAAGCATCCAAAATGGAGTTCGATTGGAGCAGAATCACGACATTTTGAAGTTTTGCTGTATTTTGTCGTGAAAAATCGCGTTCTCGGTTGGAGGTGCCCTTAGTCGTAAATGACATCATGCTCCTTAATTCTTGATTTCCTTGTTATCGTAATTCGTGCTTGAAAATATAAAAGCTCGAAATGCTAAAATAATTAAGTATATGCAAAATCTTACTGCACAAATTAATTAAAGCCCTTTTAATATGGGGAAGTCAGTTTCCATGGACTGCATTTTTTCTCTTCTGATCAGTTATTTTGATCAAAATCTCATTTTTATTACGTAATTGTAGTTCCTTGTCCTTGATTGTTTCTAATATAATCCTTCTGATTTTGTGACAAGTTCTGATCCAAGTAAACGCCAAGCAAGTTGCTTTGTGATATAATCCTTCTGATTTTTTTATTGAGGCCCCCACAATATAATGGGTTTAAAAAAAGAAAAAATTGTCATCTTTATAAGATTGCTAGGATCCTTTTCTTTGAGAAGATTGTTTAAAATTTTTTTTGGGAGGAAGCTAAGCCACATTAACTGCCACATTCCTAACAAATCATCTTCCAAGTAGAATTTAACAAAACAAAACACCTATTTGGTGGTTAGGACATTAAACAAATTTCTGGATGTCCAAGTGGTACTTAAATAATATATTATTGTCAGTTGTTTCTTTCTTTCCTTTGTCATTCTATTTGGCAAAATAAATTTATAAATCTAGAGCATGTTAGCTAGTATGAAGGGTGTCCCGATCTGCCTGACAGTCCATAAATGATCTCATGTTTTGCTTAATGGATAAAATATGACATATGTCATACATTGAATGGTCAACATATTTTTTAAGCTTCATATTTTTAGTCAACATAAATTCAACAAATTTTACCTGCTAATCAATCTATAGCCATTCATTATAGCCCTTAAATTTTATTAATTTCTTTTGTATAATAGACCTTACGAACGTGCAATCTATGCATATCAGTAATCAAATTAACACCTTCTAAACCTCTTCTACATGTGTTGCAGTTGAAGAACTCGCAAGAAACACACCGAAACTTAATGCACGAAATGGTAAGTTCCCCAAAAGAGCATCCAATTAATGACATATTCACTTCATCTTGCAGTTTGATTCAAGCATATAGATTGATCGAAACTAAATACAGGAAGTTGTTGAGGACCATACAGTCTTTGGGTTCGACGATGATTCGAGCAATTATGAGGGCGTTCTTGCCCTCGCAAATGGAGGGTCTCACATGTACGCCTTTCGTGTGCAGCCCAGCCATCCAAACCTTCATGAAATGGGATATGGCCCGCATGATCTTCGTCTCGCTTGATATATGCGTAGTAAGTGCACACGAACAAATGCATTAATTGCTCCATGTTCACAAAGCTATATGATCTTTGTTCTTGACATCCAATTATTGCAGAACTAACTGTAGCTTGTTCTTATTTAAGATATAATTCTGTGACTAAGTGCTTATGAAACATGCAATAAAGGTTTGTCCCAGACAAATTAATTTATTTCACTTTATTTGTTTTTTTATGTGTTTATTGTGCATTTGATAGATAATTGAAAGCATTTAACACCTTATTTGTTTAGTCAGTTCCTTCATTAGATCATTTAGGGACAATTTTATGAAGTTAATTTCAGCATTCAAATTGTTTGCATATCTTAAGCTTCATTTGTGACAACTTTCTTACTACTACTTAAAGCAATTTTTTTAATTTTTTACTAAAAGCGGCTTTAATAAGTGGTAAGAAAGTCGTCCCAAATGAAGGCTTAATCTTTATTGCGTTTGAGAGAACCTTTTTTTTTGTCATTAGTTTTAGAATTTATTTGGGATGAATGTTGCATTTTATAGAGTTTATTATAAAGATGCTATGAGAAAAATAACTTAACTGTTCGATTAAAAAAGCAGCTTCCAATCATCTAAATTTTTGAAAAATATTGAAAAAATAATAATAATAAAATGGTTGTCATTTTGAAATTATAGTTACTGTTTGAAAAACAAAATAGCACCCTATGAATTATAGTTACATTTTTTTCACGCAATATAGGGTGCGTTTGGGACGTCTGCTGCTGTCGGTAAAGCAAGTTGTGAAATTATTGTACATAAAGCTATTTTCTTAAATTGCTGTATAGAAATCAGTCAATGTTGTTTGGGTAGTACTACTGTCGAACTGCTGTGCTGCTGCTGTTTGACAACAAATTACTTTGTTACCCTTACATATATGAAGATGAATAAAATTTGTTCAAATTTAATTTTTTAAACTCTTTATGTGATATAAAATCTAGTTATTTTATTACTTTATACATATAAATACTATAATTTTTTTCAACATTTGTAGCAGATGAAAATAACGCTGGAATATGGAATCCTTTGTACGGACGTGTAATGATTTATCCATTTTACTAATATAACTTTAAGATGAGCATTGAATAAAAGTTCAGAACAATGGTAAAGCAGTGACCATAGTTTGTGGCTGCATAAACCTTATTCCAATGCAATAGACTTTACCTTGATATCCCATGGAAACAGGATGCCGCCAAGCACAGAGGCGACAGATCCACAGAGGAGTGCGAACGAGGCACTGACGATGAGCAAAGCGAAGCCAGTCTGCGAGATCTGCGAGCAGCGCGACCGCGATAGGCAACAGTTCCGATGCTGAGCTGCAGCGATGGCGACAACGATGAGGACAGAAAAAGGTGGGGAGAGCAACGAAAGGTGAGAAGGAGGGCGCACAACTCATCTAAGAGCCGCGATTGATGCTAGGGATCGCAGCCCATATTTAAATAGGAATCCTAATCTTAACCGGGAGAAATGGAGAGAAGATGGTAGAGTCGGAGGAAGGCATGCGGGAGAAGTAGCGATGAGTGGAGGGATCTTTGGCAAATCGGCGCGCATCGGAGAAGGTGAGTCGAGATGGATGAGCTTGAGAAGGTCGACGTTGGTCTTTAGCAAACATTGCGATTGGGCTTTTCCATCATTTATGCCCTTCGAAACGGCGGAAAGCAGCGACCCGCAGCGGACCGCGGGACGCAATGAAAGGTCGAGAGAAGCAGCCACGAGCCGCAGAAATTTTTCTAACTTTGTTCTACCGCAATACCCCAAACGAGCACTTAATAAATTTTTATAAAGCAAAGCAGCCGTGAAGCCGTCCCAAACGCACCCATAATTTGCCCCTCTAAAAACTGGAAAGCCTCCCGCCCTCATGCTATTTTTATCAGATTATGTTGAACTTTTCTAGCACTTATAAACAAGTCTATGAAAAATGATTATATACAAAATAAATTATTTTTACACCCTTATATATATATATATATATTTGCCACTTCCCTCCACCCCTAAGAACTAAGACCGGTTCCTCCCTTGAATAAAACTAACAAACTGATTAGTGTCTCTTTTATGATTTGAAAATATATTAATGTCGCCATTTAAACCATTTATTAGTTATAAAAATGTCAGCTTAGCTGCATTCAAATATGATCAGAATTTTTTATTTTATTTACCAAAATCACCGGCCATACGCATTGTTCCTTATATTATCCGGACACTATATAAATAAATGTTAGCTTTATTTAATTTTTGAGGATATTTAAGTAAATTATGTCAAATTTATACATATATCATATACATATAACTCGAATCTAAAACTTCTTAATTGATAATTAAAACTTTCAACCAACAAATGAAGAGCGGCATTTAATAGTAAAAATGAAATGCTAATTATTTTTTCTTATAATTGTTTGTTTCCCAAACTAAGGTTCAAAAAAACCTGTCTTTTTTAACAGCCACATTATTTTAAATTACATAAAAAGACAGACGGACACAATTAAAAACAAAAAAAAAAACTCAAATGATTAAACTCATTTAAATACAATTTTTTTTTTTAAATATTTTAAGCAAAATGTTCCGATACAATTATTTTGGTGTTGTTAATTACCTCATGATCATGGATTCATTTTTCTCTCTGATACAGAAAAAATCTGAAGGTTCCGTCATCATTATCGCCTCCTCCTCCTCCTCCTCCTCTTTCTCTTTCTCTTTCTCTTTCTTCTTCAAGCCAATCATCTTCTTCTCCTCCTCCACCATATCGACCGCCGGAACTTCCTTGACCCGTCCCGACCCGATCCCGGCCCGAAGCAACCGGACCACCTCCCTCATATCGGGCCGGTTCTCGGGGCATCCATCCGTGCACTTAATGGCAACAATAACGCAATTACGTAGCTGGGCCGGGTCGAACCGGCCGTTCAGTCGCGGGTCAGCGATCTGGTCCCATTTGCCGCTCTCCGCCAGTGGTAGGGCCCACTGGACGATATCGCGCTTAGCTCCGCCGGGGAGTTTCTCGATGGGCCGACGAGCGCTGACGATTTCCAAGAGAAGAATTCCGAAGCTGTAGACGTCGCAGCTCTCAGAGACTTTGCCCCACATCGCGTATTCAGGTGCCAGATAGCCGAGCGTGCCTTTGACACGCGTTGTCAGGTGGCTGACGCCGTCGGGAATAAGCTTGGCGAAGCCGAAGTCGGCCACTTTTGGCCGGAATTTGGCGTCGAGGAGGACGTTGCTGGCTTTGATGTCTCTGTGGATGATGTGAGGGCTCGCCTCATGGTGTAAGTACCTATATGATCAGATCATATCAGATCAGATATGTTGATGAAGGAAGGAAGGAGTATATATAATAGTAGGAGCTTACGCAATCCCAGATGCGGAGCCGAGGGCTATGCGCAGGCGAGTGCGCCAATCAAGCAAGTAATCGTAGGAGCGGCGGCCATGTAAATGGCCGAGAAGGCTGCGATTGGGCATATAATCATAAACAATCAGCCTCTCTTCTCCGCCGGCGAAATATCCCCTTAGACTCAACAGGTTCTTATGCCTAACTCTCCCCAGCACTTCCACTTCCACCGCAAACTCCATCTCCGCCTTCGGACTCATCGCCTTTAGTCTCTTCACCGCTATCTGAAATTTAGGGTTTATTATTGAAATTATAAAATCAACTAAGTTTATATAATATTTTTGTCACCGCGATCGAAGTTGTGACTCAGAATCAAATTATAAGTAATCGTTAAGAGTTAAAGAAATATATACCTCTCCGCCGGCGGGCGTGCGGCCCCAGTAGACGGCGCCGAAGCCACCCTCGCCGAGCTTATTGCTGTCATTAAAGTTGTTTGTGGCGTTCAGGAGTTGCTTCAGGGAGAATATTTCCCATGGCTGATCAGCAAAGCAGCTGCTAGACGAAGTTCTTGAGCTACTAAATATCCATATATATATTAACAAAAATATTTTTTTTTTCAAAATTAATTTGAATTAAATTAACTGATCACCTCATGCAATATGAAATTATGAAGAGAGAGAGAGAGAGATAGATAGAGAGAGAGAGAGAGAGAGAGAGAGAGAGAGAGAGAGAGAGAGAGAGAGAGAGATTAAATGAAACTTACGGGCATGAACGACCGGCGGCTTCTTCATCGTTCTTGCGAGAAAGACAGCAGAACTTCCGGAGATTCACCATGTCTTTGTGAAGGAAGGGGGTGGAAAGAAAGGATGGGAGGATAGAAGGCTCAAATGGAATTTAATTCTATTGAGTAAACGTTGAAGCGCTCAAAAAAATAAAATAAAACTTTAGAAATTTTATATTAGCATATTTTAACCCCAAAAAAAACGCTTTGCTTTGAGTAGCGGTGTAAATTTGGGTCCAATTCAGGTCAAATCCTAGTTGACTCGGTTCTAAATGGGTCAATCAGAATCCTACCCGTTTTTTGCAAACAGGTTGACTATTTCAACCGGACCTGACCCATGCGGGTTGGCGGGTTGACCCGACCCCTAAACCCATTTGATTCAAAACAAGCAGTGCGACTACGACGCGGGCAATGGCGATCAACGACTCAACGGGTGACAGCGACTGTGGATTACTGTTTTGACACGTGAGCGACGATGAGCCATGCGGCAGTCGGCAGTACGATGGAGTCCAGTCCAATTCATCCTGCTCGTGCGACTCTTGACTCCAGAGGCGAACCATATTTTTGGGGTCGGATCAGGGGTTGAATTTTGTGTCGTGACAACTTTTAACACCCCTAGCTTTGAGAAATTTTTTGTTTTTTTAACTCTTCTCTAACAAAAAATTTTCTTTTTTTTTCAGATCATTTATAAATCATGTCATAATTTTTTTCCAAAAAATAAACTTTTAATCTAAAAAAAACCATTTCAAATGAAGTCTAAATTATTAGTCTAAATAAATAAATATATTTAGAAGATACATCCGAATTAAAAAAATATATATATACGAGCTTAGCAAAATATAAAATAAAATCCAAATCTTTTGCATGATATAATTTTTTTTCATGTCTGATTTTTGGCTTTCATGATAGCCCCAATCTTGCACGTCATTTCAGGGTCTCCATAATTATTTTTATTAAAAAAAATAATTCCACAGATCCAAATCATTCATACGTGTTGAATGAATCCGTTTCAACCCTTCAATTTGTTCTGCAAGATGTCATTATTTATCTTTTAGTTATAAATTATTTAGTCATATAAGAAAATAGAAATTGGGTGATTAATTAATTTAATTTTATATTATACATATTTTAAAATAATATAATAATTATAACATTCCTATCTCTTTTTGTTGTTGACAAATTGGCATGATATATATAATTATATAAAGTATATATATATATAGCAATTAAATATTATCAATATCCTTTTCCTCATAATAAAATAACTAAATTAATTAATTGCCACTATTTTTTTTTTCTATTTTTTTATTGGTGTAGGAGTTTCTAGCCATTTAGTTTGACATTTGCTGCTAACATAAATGAGATTTATATATATATAATAAATCTTCAAAAGTTTCAGGCTCGATATATACGAATTAAGTCCTTAGCATTTGATTAAGAAAATTAATAATAAGAGGCAGTGAAATTTTCTCTAATGATAATTGGTCTTAATGAGTTGTCCCATGGCCCCACCACATTAATTGTTTCCAGTCAACTTTTGATATGTTAAGCTCCAATTATCTATTTTCCCATGAAAATCATGGCCCCACTTTTATATTTTTAGTTAAATAATATTTTTTGGTCATAAAATGAGTAGATTTGTCCAACATTTGGAAATGAATCTTCCACAATAATTTGGAAATGAATCTTTGTGGTTTTTTAATTTTTTTTCATTAAGCAAGCTAATTAATCTCTTTGTTTAGTGCTAATTGCGATTACATACTGAAGTTTGAAAGTTTAGTGGGCAATAATTAATTATTTGGGTTAGATTTTACTAATTAATAACCTCTGTTAAAAACTTTTAACATGATAATGTATAATATTATTGGATAAGAAAGGTAGGATTTGGGAGTTTAACCATCTAATTATCATGATAATTATAGAGGATTTGAGTACTTGTAAATTGAAAAAATTATTCCTACAACATATGCCATAATGTAATTTATGTATGCGCTTTAATAATAGCAAAAATGAACTTCTTAATTAGGAGCTCTTTCCTATTTATCATGAATGATAATGCATGAAACTTTTATATTGGCATTTATAAATATTTTTCAGTATGAAATCAAAAGATGAGAGCTGAAACTTGCCCTGATACTATTATGTAATTCCTTCTTCTATCGACTCTATTAGATTCATGGAACTGGGAACTATAAGATGGTCAAACTATCAGTATCAATCCCTAACTGGATACCCCAGCCTCTGTTGGCCTATTGGGCTAACCCAAGGGTGAGTTTATCCAAATAACATAAAAAGCTTAGATCATTATTTGTTGATAGGAATAATTAGTATTTAAGTATAATCGATATAAGAATAGAAATATCATTTTAAATTACGTGATTAAAATCTAACTTTATCCACATGATGAATATTTTGAACTCTCATATCATAAGAGAATTATCAAAGAGCTCTAAATCATCACTTCAATTTGTGTTTCTAAATTCAAACGTTCTACACCTATAGATAGTTATCTTAACGACCTTAAAACTTATTTTGACATGGCTAGCTTAATGATTCTTAAATCAACTTTTTAGTACAAAAATTAAAACTTTTATACTTAAAATATGTTTTAAGAAGCAATAAAAAAGCCGCCAATCAAAGCCTAAGTTGCTTTCCCAACTTTATCTCCTTCAAGTCATATAATCTATACTTTCATGAAAAATATTATCAAGATTTTTCCCGTCTTACCATACCTCATTTATTTTTCTTTTGCATAAATTTAAATTAAATCAAATTTGTCTTTTTTATCCATAGATGGATACAATCATACAACATTTGTATTTTAATTTAATGTTTCTCTTATGCAAGAAAAACATGGTTTTTTATATAATAAATTCATTATCAGCCCTCAATATTTAATTAAATAAAATTACATATTGTCAACTTTTTTATAGCTATCATCCTCCTTTTATATATACTAGTAAAAATGCCCGTGCATTAAATGCACGTGACTAAAAATTTAGTAATAAAGATTCATATTATAAATATTTTAAATATGCTATCATTATTAAGATGAAAAAAAAATTATAAATAATTATAATCATTATGATAAGTTTTAAATGATTAATTAAATAGTTTTTATTGATATGAATTTTCTATCATTCATGAATTATTTTGGTATTAAATTCAGCTTAGTAGTTAATAAACAAATTATTTATTTTTTAAGTCGGATTTTCTTTTAAGTTATATGTCTTTTAATTGCAGGGTAATAAAATTTTAAACATTAGTAATAAATAAAAAAATTTAACAGAATACATGTCAGATAAAATTACTTTTTAATTCATTATATTTCATTTTATAAATTTATTGCTACAAATAATTTTAAAATCAAATTAATTACCAATGAGAAAGTTGGTAATATAATATATTCGATAAGAGTAAACTTCATTTGTGATTTTTTTTTATCATAATTGTAATCAATAAGATACATTATCCTCTTTATATGAGATAGGTTTTGAAAATTTTTATCTTTTATCTCAGCGATTTATATTTAAATTAAAAAAATAAAAAAATTTATAAATTTTAGTTTTCTTTTTTAATAGAGAAGCAAGTATAATTATAAATTTATACTATTAAATTGTCAAGTAATATAAAAAAGCTTATAAATTTTAGTTTTCTTTTTAAAATAAAATTAATTACCAATGAGAAAGTTGGTAATATAATATATTCGATAAGAGTAAACTTCATTTGTGATTTTTTTTATCATAATTGTAATCAATATGATACATTATCCTCTTTATATGAGATAAGTTTTGAAAATTTTTATCTTTTATCCCGGCGATTTATATTTAAATTTAAAAAAAATAAAAAAGTTTATAAATTTTAGTTTTCTTTTTAAATAGAGAAGTAAGTATAATTATACCCCTTTGAATATTTCAATAATTATTATAATCATATATCTTATAATGTATAGCCCTTCAAGAAAAAAATTGGATAAATATTTCAATTTTATGCGTTTAAATTTTAAGAGAGAAAAATAAGTTGTGTTTACATATTTGAATAAAAATAAATATTTTAATTAAAATTTAATTGATTGTTAGATAGTAAATGCTCTATGATATTCAATTATTGTAATAATCAATCAGAAAAATTATTTTTCAAAAAGAAGAGATTTTTATAAATAAGTTATTTATGATTCAGCTATTTTTAATCTAATATAAAATATTACCGTTTCAGTATATAATTAATCTAATATTAATTAATAATTTTGAATTACCAAAATTAAATCTCACAATCAAGACATCAACACACCTCCTCTTCATCATTTCATATTTCCTCAAAGTCTAAAAGACAAAACAACATCAAATAATAATGTCATTCCTAATTTTTTTTTGTTTATATGCTTGGGCTGTTATTTTGTATATTATGACTTTCCATCAAACTTGAGGGTATGTTTGAATTTGAATTATTTCAATTTTATGACATAAAAAACATGATTTTCATGTTTTAAACAAAGATTATCCCGTGTGGCTTATTCAACATCAATTTCAAAAAAAATATTTGAGTTTAATCAATTGTTCTATGAGATAATTGCATCCACTTTATTCATGTCAATCATAAGATGAAATTAAGATAATATAGTTAAAATAATATGCAACTCCAAATATATTTTTCACAGTTATGCTTGATTTAATAGTGTATATATCAATACATTTTTTATTTAATTGTGTATCTACCAATATCTAAACCATTGAATGATTAATCTAATGATTATATTGAACAATACAATGCCATATGTTTTGAAAGTAGAAGTAATAGGAAAGAAAATAGTATTAATTTCTTAGTAAGTCGTGTCTAAAATAAGCTATAATAATGTCAATTTTAAGATTAAAATAACTCGGAACGCACCTCTAGAAAAACTGAATGTGAATTATTCAAGCCACAAAATTGATTCCCACTAAAGCATAATAACCAAAAAATAATAATTGTATCAATCAAAAAATGCAATACATTGCAATCATAGTGCCCATCATTAAACATTCCAAAGAAATACATGGGTAAATTATGAGTATGCTGAGGTTTATGATAAGCTTAACAATAAATCACAGATAATATCACATATTTTCTCATATAATCTATATTCTT